CACAATACCAACTATCCTAATCCCTGTGCCATTTGTACTATGGAAGTTCTTTTAGGGACGGAGGTAGTATTAGTTTTGACCGATTTGTATCGTTTTCGATCGATTTTAGCTTGTTTTTGTCAGGTTTCATCAGTCGATTTTAATTTGGCTGGTTTTGTAACACTTGAGATTAATTTAAAGGGGTTAATAGTACTACTCATACCAACAAGATACATTCCCTTTTAAGGGAACTCATCACCTAAGAACTCCAAGTTATGTGTGCACGCATGAGTGAGGACAAATTGCGCGTTAAAGACTTGTGGAGGTTTGTGAGTACAGTAGTAGAGGTCTGGAGGTGTTTATGAGTAACTACATAGGGTCTGGTGGGCCCAGGGTGTTACAGGTTTTTTAACCCAAAAGTATAAATTGTAAACCGAATCACCGACGAATCGGTCCATTTCAGACGGTTTTGGTTATAGTCGCGCGGTTTTGGTATTAGCCGGTTCGGTTTTGGTCGATTTGTAGACCATTTTCGCCTTGTTTTATTCAGTCCTAGATTTAATAATATCATTGAGGATCATATGTACATAATACTTCGTTTTATATAGCCAATGGATGCCATTTATATATTTGGAAAGATGATAAATACGTTTCAATAAGATAATAACTAAGGATCAAAAGCACACTGGTAGCTCCCAAAACATTTTTTGCTACAATTGAGACATCAACTCACATTCATTAAGTATATACTCCGTACATGTTAACCATTTTACCCTCACTTTAGGTGAGAACATGACACAATTTTCTCCCCCTTTGAAAATTGTAATACTACTATATATATTAATATTATTGTTAATATTAATACGTAGTATTATTATTTACCTTTTAGATTATGAGCCCATTAGGTAACTTCTACTTTTTGCTTATTAGTAATTTTTTAATCATACATGTAACTTTTGTTTTTTCATGTTAAATTGTGTACAAATAAAAATAAGAAACGTCGAAATTACTTTTCGAGCTGATGATTTGATTGAAGTTTAGTATAGAGGATTATGATAACTATTTTTCATGTATAATTTGTTTATATTATCAAATAAAATATATTTTAAGTTTAATTTTTAATAATTGAACAAATTCAGTCAATTGAGTAAGAATTTGATTTAATTTAAACATATTCAACTAGTTTAAAACACCAACTTGTGCTATTAATCGAGCTCTAGATTTATTTAGATACAAAGTGAAAAAGCACAAACAGATGTTCAATTTTGGTGGACAATCAAAGATGTGGGTTCAGAAGCCCAATTAACAGTGTTAGACAAGTTAGGTTAGGGCAGAGAAAAATGTTACTCCGTATTTTGTTTGCAAGAGTGCCAACAAACCCTTCCCCTCAACCCTCTATGTCCCTCTTTGTATTTCTACTCTATCGGCAATTTAATTGTACATATATTTACCTACATTTACATGCACAATTCAAGTTATTATTTCTAAAATACTTCGCATTTATTTTTTAATTAAAAGAAAATGCAGTACTAATGTACTATTGAAGCAAGGGTGGACCTATGTTCAAGCAAAAGTTGTTCTTATACACACTTTTGCACACACCAGTACACATGTTGGGTGTGAATACTTAATAGCCTAATCACCTACACTAGTACACACTCGATGAACATATTTTTGTTGTGAACAACCTATTCACAAATAAAAAGTAAGATAACTTTCCATTTGCTGTCCCGTAACCTATTAATCCTGCAACTTTAGTCACTTGCAAATTTGGCTCTGTAACTAATTAGTCTTTTCAATTTGAGGACCCCCCAAAAGTACACTTTCCGAAGATATTATACTAGAAAAGATGGCATCACCGGCGTCGGATTTTTCTATCGAAAAGTGTACTTTCCAGTGAAAAAGTCCTTAAATTGCAAAGATTTATTAGTTACAAGACTAAATTTGCAAGCGATTAAAGCTATAGGACTAAAATTGCAAATATCCCCACGCGTAATACCATGTTAAAAAAACGTCCCGGACTGGCCGGGTCGACCTCGACTAAAAACCGGTTCGGGTCGTTAAAAACCCGAAATGACCAAAACCCGGAAAACCCCGGTCCGGACCCAAATTGGAAAAACCCAGACAACCAGGAAAATCCTGATTTCGATTTCTAAGCATTTAAACCAAATAAATTGCAACTTTAATAGAAAAAAAATAAGTGATATATTTATATATTTATTTAAGAAAGAAATTTGTATCAAATTATAATATAATGCACAATACACATAACAAATCACATTATGTATTCTAATTCTAAAGCTTAATGAGACCAAAATCAGATTTGAAGCATTATACGGAGTAAGTGTTTTAAATTCTTAGCTAGTATATTATCTAGGGGTGGGCAAAAATACCGAACCGGCATGGTACCGAACCGGACCGATATGGTACCGGACCAAATAATGGGTTTCGAAATGGTTCTCAAAATTTTTATCCTGGACTGGACCGTACCGGTTCCAAACCATGCCATGACCGGTTCTCGTAAAATGAGAACCGGTACCGGACCGAACCAGACGGAATTATGATTTATATACGGAGTAATTAATAATCTATAATTATTGTACATGTATACCTTTTGATTACTCCTTCCAATTTACTTTTTGTACTACTATAGTTTAAGTGAGAGTAAAGGGTCAGTTTGGTCCTCGAAGTTGCAAAAAAGGGGTCAAATAAGTCCTTATATAGAAGATTCTGTCCGGACGTGCCATTTGAGGTGGCTCCCTATAGAATTTTTTGATGAAATTTTTTTAGCATCTTATTCATTAAGTCTAGTTTACTCATACCAAATTTCGGCTAACAATTCAATCACGGAGACATTCAAATGAATTCTTGAAGATAAGTGCGCTTTTAACGACACAGTTATCTTCAAGAATTCATTTGAATATCTTCCCGATTGAATTTTTATTTGAAATTTGGTATGAGTAAACTAGACTTAATGAGTAAGATGCTCAAAAAATTTCATCAAAAAATTCCATCGGGAGCCACCTCAAATGACATGTCCGGACAGAATTTTCTATGTAAGGACTTATTTGACCCCTTTTTTGCAACTTCGAGGACCAAACTGACCCTTATCCCGTTTAAGTGAGCATCAAATTGAAGATCTTTTGCCATACAGTAAGTATGAAGGCACTTTACTTGTTAAATACTACCTCTGTCGTCCCTTAAAGCTTTGCCAAAGTTGACCGGCGCGGAGAATAATAAAGTAAAAATTGTGTGGTTGAGGTTTGTGCAGAGAAGAGAGAAATAAAAGAAACCACAAAATAATTGAATAAAAGCGAGAGTGACAAAGTTTTTTGGAACGTCCCAAAAAGGAAAGATGACAAAGTTTTAGGGGATGGAGGGAGTAGTTAATACCTTTAATTTATTTTATGGGTTATTTTTTAAAACTTTGTTGTGCAAGTATTTCCTAGAGACCCGATGTGTATGAGTGAGAAGCCAATGGTGTTTGAAGAGTTGTGGTTGTGAACGTTTTGTCATATATGTTTTGTATTACTATAGTTTATTTGAAATTTATTAATTATGTAATATCAAAATTGATAAATAAGTCTATGGTGTGGATTTTATTTGAAATTGATAAATTTCAAATAATAGTTTATTTGAAATTTATTAATTATGTAATTATTTGAAATCCACACTATTGATAAATCTATAGTGTGGATTTTTTTAATTATGACTAAACTTTAATTTGTCGAAAAAGTGGCATTGTTTGATATTGGTATGACATGATACCGTACCGTTTCAAATTGGAACCGTACCGAACGGGTTTAGGTCCAAGACCGAACCGAACCGTTTCAATAATAATGGTCCGGGTACGGGTTCGGTAAAATATTGGACCGGACCGGACCGCGTCCACCCCTAATATTATCATTAGTTCATTCATCGTTGCGGGTATAATTACTTTTTAATTTAGTTATATACAAGTATATGATTGTAGATTTAGAATCAAATACAAATAGTTCTTCTCATGTAAGTAGGAATAAATATGGAGCATCAAATTTAGGATCTAATGGCTATAAATATGTCCAAAATTGATTAAAGTGGATGAAAAATACGGTGACATTTTCGTAAATAAATCAGAGTTTTTCTTCTTTGCCAAAAGTGGACTTCTAGCGTGCAAAAGTGTACCGCAAAATATTAAAAGTGGATGGCGGAAAATTTTCCAACGTAATAGTGCAACTCGGAATCTCAAAAGTGGTGACATTCGTATTTTGTATCTTAAGACCTTTTTTATTGGAATCGAACCCTATAATTATATGTTTATTATCATATAAACATTATCCGGTTCTCTAGTGTTGACCGAATTAACCCTCCCGGGTTTGGGTTAACCGGTGACCCGGTCATGTGGCTGGGTCGCTTCCCGGTCAGTTTTTTACAACATTAGTATAATAGTGTAAAAAAGTGTATATAAATAGTTTGTTGGAAATTGCCCTGAATAGGAGTAAAAATGTTTTGAAATTTCAAAATAGGACTGTCATGTTTTTAATCCTTAAATAAGAGTAATTTTTGCTAAGTTTGACATTATCAGGTTTTGAACATGGCAGTTTCTGCCAATTTATTAACAAACTTGACAATCGTTACTCTTATTTAAGCAATAAAAACATGAAGATTCTATTTTGGAATTCCAAAACATTTTTACTCCTATTTAGAGAGTTTTTCCGTAGTTTATTCATGTCCTAGGTAGGAGTAAAAACATTTTGAAATTCCAAAATAGTATCTTCATGTTTTTATTCCCTAAATAGGAGTAATTTCTGATAAATTTGGAAAAAACTTGAAAGAAACTGCCATGTTTAAAGTCTCATAATGCTAAGCTTGAAAGAAATTATTACTCATATTTAGGGAATAGGAAGATTACTTTCCTATTTTGGAATTTCAAAAAAAATTTACTCCCATTTAGGGAATCTTCCCAAAAAATATGGAGTAACTTTTTAAACCAAAACGGCGTCATTGTAGTCGTTTCGGGAAAAAGAAGGAAACCCCTCCGTTTGTCCGGCTACACTTCACTCTCTTCAACCTTCACACCTTCACTTTTGAAAATTGAAATTTCACCTCTGCTTCTCTAGATCGCAACTTCCACGCTCTGCGCGAGGTCGCTTACTCACCCGGGCAGCCAGAAGCCAACTCGCACCTTGTCGTCGTTTCCGGCTCGCCGCCACTGAGCTACCGCTCATAGGTTCCTAGCTGACGAAAGAAATCAGGTAAAACGTAACCCCTGCTCAATTCTCGTCTGCGCAAGTCTGGCCTGCTGCTAAATTTCTCATCTTTGCAAGCCTGTAACCTAATTCTTTACCGATTTTTCCCTTATCAGTCAGTTATGTATGCACTGAATCCGGTCGTTATTGTAATTTGTGATCCACCACTGATGAAATCACACAAACAAACAAATTAGTAGGAATATAATGTAGGGGTAAATTATGGAAACAAAACAGTAAATGTTTCATTAAAAAATAAACAATGCATTCCAGAAATGAATTATGGCTACTTTTTCAAAGTTCTTTTTAAAAGGTTGCTTATATATTAATAATTAATGAATGCATATATACCATTTTACCTTTTTTAAATGTAGCTTCGAACCCCCAAATATCTGCCACAGTATCAAAGAACTTCATCTTCCATCGGATCTGTGTTTCAAAGATATAGTTGAACTGAGTGTTCCAGAGTTAAACCCCTCTCCTAATTTTTTGAGGAACTGCTTTAGGTTAAGGAGTTAAAGGATGGGGTACATAGGGGCACATGGAATAGCTGCGTTGCATCGCTACAAGTACAGTGGAGTAGATCACTCTTATGTAGCTAAATATGTGCTGCAGCCCTTCTGGAGCCGATGTGTCAATTTCTTCCCTCTCTGGATGCCGTAAGTACCCATCGTCTTTTCTATTGCAAAGATTTATGCTCTCTTTTGTTTTTGTTTTGTGTTTCTCAGTTATAGTACACTTCATTATGGAGTTTAGTGTCTCAGTGTCTGCACAGTGACCTTATGCAGGACTAAAACTTTGATTAACTTACTATTTAGTGGAAGAGCTGTAAAATTGAGTGGATTAATCTTATTTTTGTGTGTGCGCCGCTGATTCCTGTGAAAGTTAAAGATTCTGGATAGTCAACTTAAGAAAGAATCGTCTTGAGGCATGGTATGGGTAAGATAATGGCTAACAGACATTCATAGGTATTGAAGTTGTAATCGTAAAGTTCCCAATTTAGTCAGTTGAAGTTTTGAAGCATGTAAGTGATTTATTAGTGGTTTAATCTTTTGTTAGAAAGACTGGCTTTTATTTTTAGTTCTTAAAATTACTTTTGAGGTTAGAACATACGTAACAATTACTTGCATAATTGCCTAATGTTTTGCGTATGAAGCTTTCCTGAAACATCTCCTGTGCAATTCAATAGAACTTTTGTGTAATAGAAATGCCTTAACTAATGTGTGCTTTTTAATTTGTTTGGCAAGACTACAAGTTATTTTATGCTCATGCTTTTTAATTTCTCTCTCTAATTTGTTACTTAATACTTCTCTTACTTGTTGTGCATGTGCTGGATATGCTTCAACTAGGCCCAATATGGTAAATACTCTTTAAACAATCTTGTCACGGGTTGAAATGATTTCTCATTTTTTCCATGCACCATGAGGTGCTTTTTACCTGATACAGACTTATTCCTTTTTCAGATTACACTCACCGGATTTTTGTTTTTAGTCACTTCTGCATTGCTTGGATATGTAAGTTGTTCTTTCACCCCAGTTCCTACTTTGTCATTTATCCTCTCGGCATATTTGCTTTATGTATTAGTGTTTGCTACTGGCTATAAGTTGGTGTGACTTTGTGTTGGATCCTTCCTTGTTTTTGCTTTATTTTCATGGCTACTGTATCAAGTTTTCAAACTTATTTTTATAGGACTAATAGACTAGATGATAAGTTCCAAACACATTAGGGTTTATTGTTGAGTGAAAAATCTGAACTTAGGGTAGATGAGAATATCAACAGGGATATTCGATAGTACTACATGGTGGTAACTGGTAAACCCTTTTTATGTTTGGAGTATACAAGTATTATACTCTTTTGAATATGTAATTACACTAGCTGTGATGTTAGCCCAATTTAATTAACCAGTAATATATAAGACCTATTGTTTTGTATGCCACCATTTTTGTGTGCGGATTGCACTCACTTATACGTAGTAATAAGTTTTTCTTCTGCACATTATGGTCTGATGACCTTTTCCCTTAAGGTAAGGTTTTGGGTTTAGAAAGAAATAGTGTATTGTTTATATGACTGCTGTATCTTCGTAAGGTGCAACAGATCATTCTTTACTTTTTCTACAATCGCTAGTAGTCACAATCCTATCCTTGATCTATATAGGGTATACTGACTACACTACATATTCTACAGATATTAGGCTACACATTTTGTCGAAGAGTTGTCTTATATTTGCCCAGAGCCATACCATTCATTTGACTATTATTATTATTATTATTATTATTATTATTATTATTATTATTATTCCATCTCTGCTAACACACCAAATGTTTTTTGCCAGATATATTCCCCAAAATTGGATTCTCCGCCTCCAAGATGGGTTCATTTTGCGCATGGTTTGCTTCTCTTCCTTTACCAGGTCCAGTTATTCTCTTTGTAGGATTCATATGAATAACATTTATGTATTTGGTTCTTATCATTTGGTGTAGCAGTTCTAGTTCTGTAACCCACACATCTTTGGGATTTGACATTCGTTGTCGATAATTTGGCAACTATCTCATCACATCTATTGCAGTCGAAGTATGGCGTTTGGTTGTTCAAGACTTTAAGAGATTATTATTAGAAATCAATCCAGGCACAAATTTGTGTTGAGAATTCTTAAGTCTGGGTTCATCATTTTTGCTAGAATGAAACTCTGAGCAAGTGCCCCAATCGATTATTAATTATTATGCAAATACCGAAGAGTCATCTTTTAATGTATCAAGTAGAGTACCTCTGAGTTGGTTAACCAATCTGTTTGATACTAAAAGCGTGTCTTACTGTTGATATGTCCCAAATAAGTTTTTGGGTGTTGTTTCAATATTTTTGCTTTTCCATAAAAATTCCTTGGTGTTCACAAGTACTTGTTCTGACCCTAACTTAATGCTTGTTAGACATTTGATGCCGTAGATGGAAAACAAGCTAGAAGAACAAATTCATCCAGTCCATTAGGAGAGCTTTTTGATCATGGTCATACTCACTGATATTTTTATTATCATCATTAATATTATTTTGTGTGGTTCCATTGTGGTTGCTAATTGGGGTTTCATTCCAACTCTTTGATAAATCAAATTACTTCAACAAATAATCCAGGATGTGATGCACTTGCATGTACGGTACGTATCGTTTTCTACTCGTCATGTTTTTCCTAGGGGGAAATTCCTGAAATAGGAGTAAAAATGATTGGAAATTCCAAAACAGGGCTTCTATGTTTTTCTTCCTGAAATAGAAGTAACATGGCAGTATTTGGTGCCATCTTGTTGTCATTACCGCTAAAGTAGTTGCAGTACTAGGCATTAACATGGCAATATTTATTGTTGGCAGAATTTTTCAATCATGGCAGTAACAACTCGTATTTCGGGAAAATACATAGCAATTGGATTTTGGAATTCTAGAATGTTTTTACTCATATTTAGGGCAATTTCCCCTTTCCATGGTAAACGTGATGGTTTATAGATGTTATATGTTTGTCTTTCACAGTTTGAATCATTGGCCTTTGGTAGCACTGCTATGTGCGGACCAGCTACCTTCTGGTTTTGGTTTATCTCAGTTGTTCCATTCTACTGTGCAACCTGGGAGCAGTAAGTTTCAAGTGATTTTGATCCATTGTTTTCTCTTTATGAACACCATCTATGCTGCTTCCTCTTTAATATGCTGTAAAAAAAGACACTAATCCCTTCTTATTGCAGTTATTTTACCAATACTCTAATTCTTCCTGCTATAAATGGTCCTACCGAGGGTCTCATGCTGATATATCTTGCCCACTTTTTTACTGCTTTAGTTGGTAATTCTACTTTCCTCCTTCAAGTGGATCCTCCTACCAAGCTACCTAAGCTTCATGTCAGTTGCTTTCACAGTCTGAGCTCTATCATTTAATTAGCTTCAAATTTTCTTCAGGTGCCGAGTGGTGGGCTCAACAGTTTGGGAAGTCCTTGCCATTTTTGAGTTGGGTTCCATTTATAAATGGTGGGATATGCATATCTTGAGTGATTTGAGTCAACAACATATTTAAGTAAATGGTGGTTCACTTTCTAGTGGTCTACTTACTCTACTGCTGTGTATATTGTCTATTATGTGTATTATTTGTACAAGTTTATTGTTCTAATTTCTGGTCGAGTGAATTTACCCTTCAGTGTTTTCCCTTTCATGCCTTCATGTCCTCTGGTTTCGAAGTAACTTCACTGTGTTATATATTGTATTCTGTAGGGAATACATATGATTGCCCTGAAATCAGTGGCCTGCTTTGACTTTTTATTGTTACATGACTTCAGAAATCTCAACAACTAGAGCTGTGCTGTTTCTGATGATAACCTTTGGTGTTATACCAACAGTATCATTCAAGTAAGTGGCTTTTCCAATGCCTCAATGTCGACTTTTTAGCCCACTTACTAAGCATTAAGAGGACTGTATTGGTGAAGTTGTGGTTGCAATGCCTGAATTTCTTAAATAACTCAGTTATGAAAAAAGTTATTAAAATATATTTTATTCTTAAATTAAATTAATAAATTAATATATCTATATATGCATATACATATTTTATTCATCAACTTCCATTATTTTAGTAAAAAAGTACCTCCACTCTTAATTTTCTCGTTATGAACCAATTTAGCATGTGGAGTCAAGAAATTACTGATTGGTAAAAAATATGACTAAAAAGCCGAAAACTAAGACAACCAGACGGCAACTCTATGACCTTCAAGAATCATAAATTGATTTAAACTACTGAACTATATATGAATTACTATTATGGGACAAATGACTTCATTTGAGTGGTTTTTTTTTATGGAGAAGAATGCTTCCTCTAATGCGTTTCATGTGTAGGTAACTAGTTAATAGCTCAGTAATATCTTTCACATGTTGAAACTACCTTGTCCAATTTCAGTGGTGAAATATTTAATTCAAAAATAAACAAAATAAATAAATAAAATCATTTACTCCCTCCGGTTCTTTTTAAACTTCAGTGTTTGACTTCACAGTTATTAAGGAAATAAAGTTGACTTTACTGTAGAGTACACTGTTGAGACACTGTTTGACACTGTTGAGACACTGTTTGGCATTGTTGAGACACTGTTTGGCACTGTTTAGCACTGTTTAACACTGTTTTGATGTATATTTCTTTGCCAAATAAGGAAATAAGGAAGTGTGAAGTTTATTTTGGACCGTTCCAAAAAGGAAAGTGCGAAGTTTATTTAGAACCGGAGGGAGTATAATGTTTAATAGATAGTATTAAGCTTTTGCATGAATTCACGCTGTTAACTAGTTTTATATTATTACCCCCATAAATATCATGTCACTGGCCACACTTAATTTGGAGTAAGTTTATGGTGGTGGTGGTGAACTGGTGATGATGATATTACTTAAAGAAAGAGATGAATTGAAGAAAGTTTAGCTCTAAGTTTTGTTATCAGTGCACAAAAGGATTTAAGTTTCTCGTGCTTGTCTTTGTGTGTACATTCAGGCATTCTCTTCATATGATTGAGTGGTGCCTTTGTTATCTCGATCTGCTGGTTTTGACTTTTAAACTGAACAACTATGAAATATGGCTTTGAAATATTTCATGTCCTAAACTTATATTTTAGTTTATGTACTATTGCACATAGATCAGCATGCATGCTTTTTAACTAAGACCTTTCCTCTTCAGCGTGCAAAACGTGTACAAGGTTGTCAAGGCAAGAAAGGGAAGTATGCCTGTAGCACTGGCCATGGTATGAGTGCAATAAACTATGAATTAATGAACAAGACCCCCTTCCGCTTTTTGTGCATGTTCCATTAATTGGCCAATTGAATTAACAGCTTTATCCATTTGCTGTGCTGGTGGGCGGAGTCCTTCTCTGGTAATTTTTTCCCTCTTTCATGTTGAATAATGAACAAACTTGAACTACAACTTCAAAGTTTCTAGAGGCTATTAATCTATTACTATGCTTATATAGAGAAATAGTGGAAACAAACCTGGTAGTAGGAAATCTAATAAGAATAGGAAACAAAGTACTAATAAAACTAGAGAAAAATGTCAAATTGGTCCTCGCACTATCACGAAAAAGTCAATTAGATCCTCATTCTTTAAAAACCTCGATCAAATCCCCAATCTCTGAAAAAACGTTCAATTGAGCCAATTGGCAGGTTACTTGCCATGTCAGCAGGCCACTCGACGACGTGTGCACATGTGGTGGTCCACGTGCACAACACGTCATATTTAAATGGCTGACTTGGCTTCCACATGTGCGCCACAACAAAGTAACTGCTGACTGGGCTGCCACTTGTGTGCCACGGCAGCAGGTGACGTCAGCCAGGTGAGGAAGCGTATACCATACAGCCGGCTGTACGGCTGGCACCGTACAGCCGGTGGCAGTTTTGTAATTTTGATGAAGTTCGTGGTTTCTTTTAAATGAGTATTGATGTAATTTGGATGAGCATCGAGTCTGATCTTCTGAGTATTAGAAACCTAACAATGAGCATGACGATTGTTGCTTCATATCTTCTAATTGAGTTCCTATTTATTATTTTTCGTTTATAAAAATACTTAACTTATGTTTATAATTAATTTCAATATGTGAATCTAATGTAGTATGATATGTTTGATATGTGCATCATTTTAAAATGAGCATACATAATTTACAAAATGAGTATCAAAAAATTCAAAAGCTCATTTGTGTATGCTCATTTATTTTAGACATTATATTTGATATGTGCATCATTTTAAAATGAGCATAAAGCAGTACCAAATGAGCATACATAATTTACAAAATGAGTATCAAGAAATTCAAAAGCTCATTTGTGTATGCTCATTGATTTTGGGCGTTATATTCGATATGTGCATCATTTTAAAATGAGCATAAAGCAGTACCCAATGAGCATACATAATTTACAAAATGAGTATCAAAAAATTCAAAAGCTCATTTTGTGTATGCTCATCGATTTTGGGCGTTATACTCATGTAAGTTTAATGTAAAACTCATTTTTAATGTGTTTAATATTCAGTTGTGTATGTTCATTTATTTGACGCGTATACTCATCTGAGTTTAATCTAAAGCTCCTTTTTTATGTGTTTAATATTCAGTTGCGTATGTTCATTTCTTTTATGTGTATACGCATTTGAGTTTAATAAAAACTCATTTGAGATCAATAGCAGTAGGGATTCCTTCACTTGCAGTAGACGCGCTTTTTGTCTTCCAAAATCACAATCTCAAACACCAAAATTGAATAAGAAAACGAGAGAAAAAGAAAAGAGTGAAAAGAAAGACTGAGGGCAGGGAAGAGAAACAGATCTGCTGTGTCCGTTCTAGAGGAGAAGGGGATGAGCGAGCTGCAGCGATGAGCAACCAGACAAAGCGAAAGGCCATCTCCGTTTTGGTTTCTCCGGCGACGAAGCAACTAGACGAAGCTAGATCGAAGAAGTAGACGAGATCGGAGAAGCTGGTGTGAAGCTTGATGGGAAGCCGAAGAAGAAGCGTAGAGCAAGATCGAAGCCCGAAGAAAAAGCCCAAGAGCAAGATCGAAGCAGAAGCGCGTAGCCAAAAAAGGGCCGGCTGTACCGTGAGCACGGTACAGCCGGCTGTACGATGGAATTTACCGCCAGGTGACTTGTTGATGTGGCGGGTAACCTGCTAATGGATTCAACTGAAAGTTTTTACAAAGTTCGGGGATTTAATTGATTTGTAAAAGTACGAAGACTTAATTGATGTTTTCATAATAGTACAAGGACCAAATTGACAGTTTTCCAATAAAACTATGATAACTATATCACTACCAAACTTATAATGCTACTAAAATTGTGGTCGATATATTATCACTTTAATACCCCATCTCAAGATGGAGCATGAGAGCTTGTAACACAAACTTTGAACTTTGAACTCTTCTTGAACTGCAGTAGTGCCCACTGCCCAGTTGAACATCCAAACTTAAACTTGAATTGAAATGTTGCAAACATGAGCTTCTGAACTTTAACTTTTTAACTGAACCGGTGTCTGAACTCTGAACTTTATTTTAACATTTACATCAGCTTAACTTTACATAGCATTAATGGGATCCAATACCAATTTCTTCTTCTTTCTCCCCTTCTTAATTTTCCTTCTTCTGCCTTTCATCATCATGGTAGCCTATCAACTCGCATGAATTATTGCCCAATAATTTTCTAGCATAAAACCAGACTTTTTTCCATTCGACATAATGTCTAATAATAATAAATTGATAATCACTGAAAAATTCAATCTTGTTGGTTTTTTTTGAAAAATTTACGATGGTCACCGGAAGGTAGAGAACCAAACCGGAAAACTTTTACCGGAAAAGTTAGCAGAAGTACTTTCACGCGCAGGAGCATGGGGGCGAGTGACTGGAGTTGTGTTGGAGAGTGGCGGAGTGTGAGGTATTGGATGGGAGCAGTCTTCATGTTGTAGAGTCCTCCAGTGATTCTAAGGACCATGTAATGGTCTCTTTTGCGAAAAGATGGGCGGATATGTTTCAGTTCCAAAAAAGGCAGTATAAATCTAGTTTTTTAGCAAACCGGCTCTGATACTGTATTGAATAATAAACCACACTTTAATTGATTTAACTTTGAAGTTCCAACATCATAATGCCTGCAGGCTATTAAATGCTTATATAGAGAAATAATGGAACTAACTTGACAGGAACAGGAATAGGAAATTTAATAGGGTTTGGTAACTGCAATATCACTAACACTATAATAAGTATATTACTCCTTAAACACTTTAATTGCCTTTGATTCACTAATATAAGTTTAATTTTTTCTTGTATCTGCTTTTTCCACATATAATGCAGGGAATATATATCTCCATCTGGTTTAATTAGGAATTACCCACATCTGTTCATTGTGGGAACTGGGCTTGCATTTGGGTTTCTTGTGGTAATTTTTTGCTCATGCTCGTGCTCCTTGGACTTCTGTAATCTGGCTGTGTGAATTTACTCAGAAAGTAGACTGGAGTTGTTATATATGAATTGAGACTTGAGAGTGGCAAGTGTGAAAACTCTCGATTAGGTTATGTTTGTTAGGAAAGTAACTTGTGAAAAATGTTTTCCATTGAAAGTATTCTAATGAAATATGTTTTACATGGAATTGAGAACAATAATTTGCTCTATATAAAATATAAATATGATGTGCTACATGAATGGGAAATCATTCTTTACAGAACTAAAGAATCAACGGAAATATTTTTATGCGCCAAATAGCCCCCCAGGAATTTTGCTCAAGTAGGGCAATGCACGAGGGCTTGCATATATCTGGTGCCAAAACATTCTCTGGTGTTAAAAAGAAGTTATATATATAAACCTAAAACATGAAGTAATGTTCTAAAAATAGAGAGGACTTGCATACATAAATTTTAGTAAAACAATACATGTGTGTGTACTGTGCACTGATTGCACTGAATACATGTTCCAGGTTAGTGCTACTTCCTGTTTCTGTTGAATTTCAAGCTCTGCTCTATACTTCCAATTCTGTGTTTGTGAAGAGAGTTTTGTTTTGCAGGGAAGGATGATTGTATCACACTTGTGTGATGAACCCAAGGGTCTGAAAACTAGCATGTGCATGGTATGTGTACTTTTCTTTTTACTCCCTACTGTGACCTAAATATTGAATCTTTCGTTCTGAATTTAATATGTTGATCTGAAATCAATTCGTATTTAGACGTTTTTGACGAGGAAGTTTGTCATTCTCTGATCAATCGTTATGATTATTCTGATCAAAACTCCAGTTTTTTCAAGTTTTTGTATCAACATGGAGTTTACTGATGATTAGACGTTTTTTACTGAGTTCAATTGAAATGTAATATTGTTAGTTTAGAACATTCAGGTCAGATATAGAGATGTGGTGGTGAAGGGGGGTGGGGAGGTAGTGGTGTCAGTGGCAATAGCTCACCCTCCCTGATTTTGTTCAGTATGTGCAAGCATTTTCATGTACTCTCTTCACACCATAAAAGTTCTGGTTTTAAAAGCCATTTTTTGACCTAAAAAAGATTCATGTTCGTCAAAAGGAACTAGTTATTCATGTGATTACATAATTTTTTAGAGTTGTACTTTGCCTAATTTTAAAAGTTATACCTTCACCAAATTGATTTTTTTGATGAGATGGGAGCATAGTTCTAATAAAATTAAATTGTCGCGCCACCCAATGCAAATTCTTGGGCTCAGATTGGACATGTCTGGTTGAAGATTCTTTCTTTCTTCTGCTTATGTCGATGACTGAATGAAAATGATTTGAATTTCTCAATTGAAATTTGTGTCAGATTCTTATGTGAACTATAATCTTGTCAACATTTCTTTTTTTATTGCAGTCTTTGCTATATCTTCCTTTTGCCATAGCTAATGCGCTCACTGCCAGACTTAATGATGGGTATAACATGGATCCCAATGCCAATTTAATTCCCCGTTTATCGTATTGAGTGTTTTGTTATACTGTTTTAAATATGATAATCTTGTGCTTTTATTTGTGGCAGGATTCCTTTGATTGATGAAATCTGGATTCTTCTTGGATTTTGTGTGTACTCAGGTACCTCATTTTTTATTTATAAGACCATGATCTTGTTTTAATGGGCAGTGCATGAATACCTTGGTTTGCTGTGGTTTATTTCTATGGTGCTGACACATAAAAAGGGTATTTACTACTAAGCTGACCCCACTTAAAGGGAAAACATTGCTTTGTATGGCTCAGGGTGTATGAATGACACACATTGAACAATTAGATAACTGAACTACTGAAGTAATCTTAAGGTTGCGATTGCTGCAGCGTGATTGATGCGGGATCTCAGTATCTCACACAAGCTGCTTCGAGTACCCTCCCATGTTAGAATCCCCTAGTCTCTCATGAATTCAAGAGAGAAAATACCTGAAGACCATTCGAGCGACCTGCTTCTCAGACCAATAGGGTGTTTCAACTAGGGCCAGATCATGCTAGGTTATCCCAGGAATGAACAAGGCTTCATTTGGTTGTAGTTTTGCATATCTAGAATACTCTTGAATCTTGATAGACACCCAATTAAGAGCAATGAAGTTTTCTTTATTAATATGGATGAAATTGTGAAGAAATAAAGTGATTCAATTGGTATATATGGTTGATCTAGGATCTGCCTTTAGAGTCGCAAACATGCTAAAACTGAAACTAGTAAAGTTCGAAAACAAGCTGGGAATTGGTTAGTAGATTTCAAATTGCTGTGAAAGTGACTACTTGCCTGTAAATTAGAAGTTACGAAATAAATAAACAATAACACATGAAATAACTAATGCAAATAGTAAGGGCCTGTTTACTGAGAGATATTTTCCAGTTTTCCAGAAAACTGGAAAAAGAAAAACAGAAAACATGTTTACTGAATGCACAGGAAGTACTTTAGTTTGGGCTTGCAAACCTTTGTGTTCACTATAACTCTTCAGTGTCAACTTTCACGACTCTTTGTCCAACCTAACTCTATTTTGCTTCATAATTTTCAGTGTCACTATATATGCACTTTGCTACATCTGTTATTCATGAAATAACAACAGCTCTTGGAATCTACTGTTTCAGGTGAGAGATTTTTGCTATATCGTTCTTCAACTATTTTAGTTTCTTCAAACATTAGTTATTCTTGTTTGAGCTAAGTATATAGTTGTGACTTGTGAGTAGTGAACACTTGGCATTATACGAATAGGCTAAAGGGTCAAATAGGCCCTTGAACTGACTTAAAGTGTTCAATTAACCCCTTATATAGGAGGTTCTGCCCGGCCGTCACTAATTGGGGCGGTTCCTGGTGGAATTGTTTGATGAATTTTTTTGAACATCTTCTTCATTAAGTCCAGTTTACCCATACCAAATTTCAGGTAAAAATTCAACCGGGAAGGCAGTCAAATGATTTTTTGAAGATAACTGCGAAGTTAAACAGCGCAGTACATTTCGTAAAATCATTTGACTGCCTTCCCGGTTGAATTTTTAGCTGAAATTTGGTATATGGGTAAACTCGACTTAATGAAGAAATGCTCGAAAAATTTCATCAAACAATTCCACCGGGAACCGCCCCAATTAGCGACGGCCGGGCAGAACCTCCTATATAAGGGGCTAATTGAACACTTTAAGTCAGTTCAAGGGCCTATTTGACCCTTTAGCCATACGAATATAAACCCAAGTCTCCTTATTCCCAACACTTGACTTTCATATTATCACTTCTTGGTCAGTTTAGGCTCTGTATGTTTACTGGAGGAATTTTTTGTCCACAAAAATGTTTTCTGATGTACCCATGTTTGGTGCTGAAAAATGTTCTGGAGAATGATTCTTTTGACTTCCTTTGAAATGACTTACCGCTTTAACAATAACTAGTCATTTTTCTGAAACATTTTTATGCATCAAAATTACAGAGTATATATAATACATAAAGCAACTTGTTTTCTTGGAAAATATTTTCTGCAAGCAATTTTCCTTTAAACAAAAAGTGTTATAAATCAATGTCATGCAGTTGGGCTAATGAGTACATTGTAACAGTCGAAGAATTTTAGGTTTCATGAAGTTTACTGGATTTTGTGCTAGAAAAATGTGTTGCTATGCTGATGCTTCGTCTATTCATGACAGGATAACGAGAAAGGAGGCTTGAATCAATTTTTATCTTTCTGATGCTTCCTCCTCTGTAGTGCGTATGATCAGGTCGTTATTATGTTTAACAAGCTGAACCCATGGCCTTGCTTTCATGCTGAATCTGGAATTGCCCATTAAGGAATCATGGCATGACTTTGAAGCTAGGGTGCCTTTATTCAGTCCGTGAGTCCTAAATGGACGCGGCTGTAATTTTATTTACTCCTAGTGTTGTCGGCAAATTTAAGTAGGTGCTTAGTTCAATTTTTGGCAGTACCCTAATGCGAATTAAAAAGGCTTTCTTCTACTAACGTTTTCTTCTTTACTTAATGATATGCGTGAAAATTGGAGTATACTTGTTAAGATTATATGGCATGGTTTCCAGGCTCTAGCTCGCTAGGTACCTTATTCGTTTGTGTTTTTTTGTTTTTGTTACCAAAAACAAGATTATAAAAGCTATTAAAAAGTTATTCTTGAAATAATTTATGCCTTTGAGAGAACTTTTGAAATAGGTGAATCACATTTTTTTTAATCTCTAGTAAGTAGTAACTTTGAGAACATCCTTATAATTTTTTTCTCTCATAACTTTGAGTCTACTTCAAACCTTGAAAAAAGTAAATTTGAGTCATTCAAATTATCTGTTAGGTTTCAAACGTCATCAGGATAAAACCAACTGCTCATAACTGATTGATTGCCCGCATCCTCAGATTCCCGTCACAGATCACAGCTCACAAGGAACAATGATTTATTGATCAAAAACCACTAATTTTCCAGCAAGAAGATGAACTGTCGATTGTGTGATAATGTGATTGCTCAAGGCCTCAAGCTAACTCTGAAAACTAACAAGTTTCCCGAATTTACTTATTTATGGCTCCTACCCAAGACATTTAACAAGTTTAAATGTGAAAATTGGCCCAATTTAATCACTCAATTGTCCAGTATAATATTCTCTTGAAGTACGCCGACACTTCATAGTTCATATTGTTGTTGTGGTCTCTTGGAGGTCTACCATTAATCAATATTTACAGAAAGAGAGAAGAATTAAAAATTACAATATAACTCAGACTATTATTTATTATTGCACATTTGCACTCCTCGATATGTATTGGAGTGATTTTAGTGCAGATTAATTGAATAAAAGTAAATAGCTAACTAGATAAACTCTTAATAAACACACTCCGTTCGTGATATGTGGTAACTGAAGTTAAATCGAAGCATATTTGAGTACATCTTGAGCCCCTAAACATAAGATGATAACCAACACGTATGTGATTGGTGTGAGCATTTGTCTGTAAAAAAGGTGTGAGCATTTGTCTATTTTTTGCTGCCACCCTCTCACCACTCCAGTTTTTTAGCTCTCATTTGTTTAATTTTTTATTTGAAAACAAATAAGAAATTTATAATGGACATTTAAGTTATTTCTTTCATGTATGTTTACCAAAACATGTGTGTGTACTACCTCCTTATTCTAATGTTTATTACATTAGGTCTGCACTAAGTTTAAGGGTGAAATACTACATGTAGTTAATTGTATAAAAAAGGCGTAAAAAGTATGAGAAAATCATGAAATCGCATGAAATATAATATGGAAACGTGGAAAAAATAAGAGTAATTAAGTATTTTTATATAAAAAATTTATCAAAAAAAGTTATAAATCTTAAAAACTTATAATAGCCAATGACGGTGAGGTCTTAAAAACTTATAATAGCCAATGAGAGGTGTTTTCTTAGAAAACTGAAATTATCAACAAGCAGAGCAAAAATACGGGAGTTTGGTTAGGGTTTCTAAGATTGAGGGATTCGGAAAGAGGGTTTCCGAATGGGATGATTGGGTGGGTTGGGAGGGGTGGGTTGGCTGGGAGGGGAGGGGGTTGGCAAACATGTGTAAATCCCATTTATTTATTATTTAATATAACTTCTTTATTTTTACTCCAAATTTTACAAAAAATATATTGAAATTCATAATTTTTTATGATCTTTCTAATGACACCAATATCTCATATATAAAATTTATTTTATATTTTTGAGGTTTCAAATGTAGAAAGTTTTCAGATCCAATTTTTTTTCTGAATAGATTCAAGTGCTAAAATTAGGATCACATTATTAACATAACTTTTTTTGCATGTTTCAATTATTTTAAAAATGATTTTTTATTTTAGCACTTGGATCTATTTAAGATAATTGTTGAAACTAAAAACTACATACTGTTGAAACTTCATTTTTTTAAACTTTTTTATATGAGATATTAATGTCATATGAAAGATAATAAAAAGTTATGAATTTTGATATATATTTTATAAAAAATTGAGAACAAAAATAAAAGTTACATTACTTAATAAAAAATGGGGTTTTATATTTTACCCAGCCCCCCACCCAGATTCCCTTTTTGAAGTCCCGTGTTTTGGTGTGTGTTGCAAAAAAATCCCGTGTTTTGAGAATTTCCTCGCCAATGAGGGTGAGGACTTTTAAGGTACGAAAGGTGTAATCATCAGTTTAATTGAACGGTACAATGCTTTTTATCATTTGTACTCTCTTAAGTTCGTGTTTTATTTGCGTCACCCATCCGTTTCGTCTGCTTCTATCATCCTCGCTTGTAATCTTGTATACACCTTCGGTTTTATCCGTCTTCAGCGCTCCGAAGTCCGAACGCCGGCCTGCTATTAGTCTATCAGACTATCACCCAGGTGCTTCCATTCGTGCCATAACTCCCCCGACCTGTTTTCGTGTTGTGGCCCTAAGAAGCATGTATGTGACCAGCTTAATATAGGAAGGGGTATAACTTGAATCTTATGTGATTCCACTAATTTTACTACCAGAAAAAAGTGTGTGGTTTTGATTCTATTGACTTTCTTTGGCTTCAAAATGGGCTTTTGCGTATAATCTAATACTCTGTTCAAACCTGACATTTTATTTCTTAAGCATCCATAATCACATTTTTTCACAATTCACTTGATTAAAGTAAAATTTGTCATTTTTGTGGGTTTGAAAACAAAGTAAAGATTCCTTTCTGGTCCAAGGAAAATTACACATAAAAGACAATTTTCTTTTCTTGGTTTTCCCGTTTTTTGTTGGAAGGATTAAAAAGGGCACTGTGGAATACTTTTACCTTTTTTATTTGTTGCATAAGGTGTCGTTAATCTGATCAAGTTTCGTATTAAGTTTGTTAGCTGTTGTGTCCTCTCTACGAAGTAAGTAAACACTGAAAACAAGAGAACACTTTAGCTTGTAACTTTAATGTTGATAAATCCCTGGGCTGAATTGCTTCAGTAGCAGAAGAAAGAATTCTCAAAGACAAAGAGAAAGAGTGAGCAGAAGAAGAAGAGTAAAGTAATTGGCCAAACTCCCGTATTTCTTCATAGATGTAAACATAAATACATAGAAGGGGAAAAACTGCTCCTAAAAACTTGGCATTATCCAAGTGCTGTACGTAGACTAGTCCTAATAAAAAGGAAGCACCATAGTAATAACTGATTTAAATAGTAAATAACTATAAGCAGTAAAAACAATAATAACATTACCATTCCTAGGCTCCCAGCCCATATGAGAGTCCATCCATGCGCTCAACGGTTCATCAAATGTGGTCTCCATTCTTCTTTGGTAATTGCTATGTACTCAATTGATTCCATTGAATCGATGCTTCTGTTTGGAAAATTGTGTGCTTTTGCTTCCAAACCGCTGCATAGGCTTGTCATTTATTCATTAGCTTTTGATTTCATGATTTAAGACTTTGAATTCTGCAAACGGTGTCTTGTGCATCATAATTTGCCGCTTGAATTGTGTGTGATCATCAGACAGTAGTTTATTTCAACATGGGCTGCTGAACAAATATTTAAAAGGATGTAATCACTACGTTTCAGAACGACAACATGCTTTGAGCAATGGTGAACATAAGGAGGAAAATCTGCCAATTACTTCATGTGTGTGTATTTTGTTTGCAAGTTTAGTGTTTTATTTTACCCGGTTTGATTTCCAAATCAATCTAAGCAGTTTTAGCATCAGGTTTAGCAATGAAACTGATATTCAATTTTTTGGTCAGGGATGAAATGTTGAAGGTTCCAGAATTTGTTCAAATGCATTTAATGGAGATAACAAATTTACAACATATTTGGTAAGGTTCAAAATATGAGAAGTTGCTGAATCAAGAGAAATTGTTGATGTTGTGACATATAATAACTGAATTATTAAAAATTTATTTAAATTATAGGATTAAGAAATTAAATAAAATAAAATAAGGAACCTTCTAAGTACAGCCCTTAGGGATGTTAAAGCTCAAGTCTGAGAAGAGTGTTCCTAATATTATTAATTAACTAAATCGTCAAATAATTTTTTTATTACTCGGTATTTCATTAAAACACGTTTATCAAAACTCTACATTAATCATTCAAATAGTGAATGTCACTTAAAAATACTAAGTGTATTATATCATCATGGTTAGCATTTTCCATAAAATAATACATAAAAATAAACGGGAGACAAAACTGATGTCTATTGAACGGGAACTAATTGAGAGTTCTAATGTTAGATTAAATGAAGGTTACAACACCCTAGAGTCTAGACACTTAACTTTGTGATGCTAAAAAATGTGTTTTGATCATTAATCCGTATTCTCAGAATGATTTATCAGTGTTCTCAGCCTTTTTTCTTATATTATTTGGATGATAATAAGGGAGAAAGTTATTTTTCCTTTTTCTATGATGTTCAAGTGGAGAGGATTTGATTGTGAAAAATAAATTCTCAATTAATATGATTAATGCTTTGTATTTGATAAAAGAAATCACAAGGGTTGATTTTGAATTTTCCATATAGCTTAAGATTTATTTGACAATGATTTATTTGAAATGAAAGTGTACTTTTTAGAACGTTAACGGCGCATATGTTTTTAAAATCAAGTCTTCCTAAGAATGGTGGTTTCAATGCTTTGGAGTTTGAAGTCTCCGTGAGAATGTTGTTAGAGGCTATCACTGAACTCTTGCTGAGTGATCTGAGGTGGTGCTTTGATTATTACATATTTAGACAGCTAATAAGGTCTCACAGGACTCAGATGTGGCATTTAAATGTTCCATCAAAGGTTGAAAGCCTTCTCATGCAGGTGTGCACTAGAGTCTACCAACGAGGAATCGTCTTATAAGCAGGCATGTAGACTGCCCATCCTTATACAGCCTTTGTTCTAAGGGAGAGGACAGTACATATCACCAGTTTATCACTTGCTCGCTGGAAAGGAATGATTGGAGTGCACAAAGATGGGTGTTGGGTGGAGAAGGGGGTTGTCATTCCTGGAGTGGGTTGAAATAAACTTCTCAGCCAGGAACATATAGCATTGTTTTTTACTGATTATGGTATGTTGGAGTTTGTGGTGCGCCCATAATGAGAAGGTAGGTGAAGGGAGTAGGACCAGTGCACCGGTTCTCTCGGTGGCAATCATGTTTCTGGAGGGATGGAGAGCAGTCCAGCAGCAGCCTATGAAGGATGGTGATGTTGCAAATGATGTGAGTTGAAAATGCAGCAGCAGAGTGGTCTGGTGAAGAATTGCAGTGGCTAGGATAAAGCTAAATGTTGATGCATCTGTGAGGAATATGAGTGAGTCTCGAGCTATGCGTGTGACGGTTGGCATAGAGCATAATTAATCTATTGTGGTAAGGGTAACTAGCTAATCTAATAGCTCTGCTACACCATATATGGCTGAGCTTGGATTGGTCATTGATGGTCCAAACAGTTATCAGATATGGCTTGGTGGAACAACCAATCAAACATTATTAGTAAAACCTTTCAATAATAGGGTTAAGGTTCAAGATCTTGAGAAAATTATGGAGGCATTGTTCTATGATTGGAAGTGAATAGGCTACCAAGTGAAGGATTCAGTGACTTCACAAACTGCATGGGCTTTGAAAAATTGAGTTACGTGATCAGCAAATCGGTAGACATCTGTGTTACCAAAGTTTTCATCTTAGATATGATGTGAAAATATGTTCTGACAACGGGGGACGGAGATCAGAATGCCGCTGGCAAGTTAAGCTATTCCCTTTTTGTGCTCCTTTTGTGGAAGGAAAAAACATGCTTAGTAAAGTTATTTTGTGATGTTTGATTTTACTTAAGAAAGTTTGTGTTCCTCTGATATATCCTTATTTAATAAACTAGTTTTTTGACGCGCGTTGCGCGTGAGGGACAATGCCCAATACCATTCACAATACAAGTGTGAATCTAAGAAGAACATCCACTCTTTCAAACGATATGATATGCATATTAGAACGACAATGATTATGTTTCTAAGAAGTTAAGAGATTAAGAAGTTTGATTATAACTTGTGTGATAAGGAGAGTGGATGCAAGGATTGGGCGCTCTTTTAAAATGGTAGTTATTATCTTCTATTAAACACATGGTACAAGCAGAATTGGACGCTCTTTTTAGGGTGATGAAAGGATATTCACGTATACATTAATCCCTTATGATCAGCAATGCCGTGAAATTGAAATTCTTCTTTTATAAACATCTCCACAATAGCTACCAAATCTGATTTAGGTCTAGTTTGCTTGAAGTACAGAACCGAATCGACCTTCACCCAACACACTATTATGTTAGACATTTCTTGTAGTTGTTAGAAGTTCATTTAAGTGTTGAGGACCACAAATATAATTGTCATTCCTATGTATCATTTCTATATTGCTGTTCTTGTGATTACTATAAAACCAACTTATATATTGGAGTAGGAGTCATACTCCATATATAAAAAAATGAACTGGTCCACTTTTTTAATATTTGATTTACTAATTAGCTCGAGAGAAAACACTGAACATTTGCGGCCCAAGAAAAGTAAAAAAGATCTACCAAATATTGTATAGACGATGTATGATGAACATTTTGATAAATAACGATGTTTTTATTGGGACCGATTGCAGTCCCCGACCAAACCAAAACAAACCATATCAGATTTAATCAGAGCAGTCCAGACTTAAACCGATCAGATCAGACCGGACTTCGATCGTTATAAAATACACATAGGCCATGCATGAGAATTCATCAAACCAGACCAGACTTAAACATAGTTGATCATACCGGATCAAACCTAACCAGGTCAGAAAACTACAATTCAAGTAAAAACTCCCTAATAGCCTAAAAAATAATCTCTATTTTACGGGAATAGTGCAAAAGCCATTATCAATCAAAATCTTAATATATACTACAGGCATGTTTAGTCGGAATAAGTTATACCTTCTTGCCTTTTCTACTATTTAAAAAGATCTAAAAATTTTGTACTTGTATATTTGGCAGGATAATTTTTAAGAGTTTTTATCTAAACAAAAATTTTATTTTGAAAAGCTACATTGAATAACATTTGAGAAAAGTCTGTAACTTTTAACATTAATTAATCATAACAACTTGTATAACAAATATAACTAAATCAAACAATCAACTTTTTATCAAATACTTAACAATTTTTTCTTTTAAAATCTTTTTAATCATTAAAAGCTAACAATTATTAAAAGTTTTAAAAATATCATTTCATGTCAAATATATCTTACGTATCTTAAAAATTTATAAGCACTGTATATGTTTGGAGATGAGAGTATGAGACCTGCAGCCTAATTCCAAAGGAATTTTCTATTTATTGGAAAGAGGTAAAATATTTTTTATTAATAACCAAAATAAATGTTAAATTTGAATTGAACTCACTAAAGAGTCACCAAAGAAACATATTTGGGGAGTTGTGTTTAACTTAACGGAGATCAATTAATACAAACGGAAGACAAGGGTTAGAATAGCCAAACAATTGAAACGTACAAGTTATTATGCATACTAAACAACCTTTTATTGCTTCTTATTACACCAACATTTTTTCCATCCCTTATGTACCTGTTTGAGGTATTGGTCCTACCAAGGCCTCCCTTCCACTTTATTATTGACTTGCACCCCATGTTTACTCCCACTTTGGCACCTCTTGTTTTGAATCTCTCCTAACCAATAATATGGCCATTTTGACTTATGTGGAGTGACCCCTTTGAGCTGTCCTATGCTGCCCTCCTTGTCTCTGCATCACATGTGAGTGTCCTTGTGTCTACCAGCCTATTATTTAGTAGCTTTGCTTCTCCCTTGTTAAAGTAGCCTGCATGAATCTTAGAGAGAGCAGTGCCCTTCTTCTTCTTCTCCATTTCCTTTGTGTGAGAGTGTGAGAGAGAATACCTTAGTGGTAGAGAAGAAGCTTGGAGTTGTGTTGTGGTCTAGCCTAGGTTGGAGACCTGAGCCGGAAAGAATTCGACTCCCAACAGTGGTATCAGAGCTTGTGTTGTCGTCGCCGTTGATTTAGCCGGATTCTGCCCTCCACCGCCGTCCGCTGTCGTCCGCCGCCGTCCGCCACCGTCCGCCGCCGTCCGCCGCCGGTAAAAGCTACTGGAAGCTTTGTTGGATCTGGGCCGTTGTTCTTTAGCACGCCGATTGCTTCGTCGAGAGTCGTTCGTTGATTCCGGGGCTCGTGGGTTGTTTGCCGCTGGAGCTACGCCTCCACATGCCGCCGTCGATTTGAAGCTTGTGGAAGTCGCCGGTCATCCCTGTTTTTCTCCGTTCGAAGGAAGGTCCACCGCTTGAGTAGCTGGTCGTTCGAGGTCGCCGGTGTTCATCATTCGCCGTTGAAGCATCAGTCCACCTGGGAGTCGTCACCGGAGAGAGAGCTCGCCGTTCGTCGCTGGTTTGCTGAGCTCGAGGCCGGCCGGATCTGGAATCCCGTCGCAGGAGGAAGGTTGTGAGACCTGGAATCTCGTCGCTGAAGCCGTCGCTGGAGGTTGCTGGCCTTGGACTCCTGGACGCAGAAAGCGAAGCACAAGGACGAAGGCTTTGGGTTTCTAGGTGTTGCTGCGCGCATTCACTGGAACAAAAGCTGGACTTTGGGCTGTTTTACTGGAGCAGAAGACTTCATGCAGGATCGGCCTATATCTTGAAGTGGACTAGACTGGTCAACGCAGGAGCTCTTATTGGACTTGGTCAAATCAGTCAACTGCCCATCAACAGTCCAGAAAAAAAAAATCCCAATTTTAATTGGGTGGGTAAGGTGGAAACGCCTCTCCTAGGGTTTCGTTCCGGTATATTATCTTTAATCCCTTTTATCGCTTTTGTAGTGATTTAATCTTTTATTTGTGTAGAAATGATATTTTAGGTTTATTACTGCTTTTTAAATTGTTTGAATTGTTGTGTTGTTCTGTGCTGAAAATTTATTATTTATTTGTGCTTATACGGAAGAACAAGGGGTTTGAAGTTGAGTTTGGTGCTCATTAATACTCCCCACGTGTTCGTGCTAGTTGCTCTATATAGTTGTAGCCTTATAAATATTTAAATTGTTTTTCAGCGAAATTTACATTTTCTTTTGTTGCTTATTTTTCTCTGTGAAAATGTCTGCTTATAATCAGTATGGTATAGCTCCATTTAATGGAAACTCTGATTTTAGCATTTGGAAGCAAAAAATTAAATGTATTTTAATACAACAAAAATGTTTTAAAGCAGTTGGCGAAACCTATTTAATTTCTGACACAGAAGTGAAAAGGGCTGAAATGAATGAAAATGCATGTTCTGTGATTTATTTGAACTTATCTGACTCTGTGATTAGAAAAGTTGGAATTTTAGAAAGTGCTAAAGTTCTTTGGAATAAATTAGATGAACTGTATACTGAAACCTCTTTGCCTAACCGGATATTTTTACTTGAGAAATTCTTCAAATTTAGACTAGATATGTCTATAGATATTGAAGAAAATCTAGATGTTTTTACCAAACTTATTTCGGATATTAAGTTGTGTGGTGATAAGCATATAGATGATTATTCCCCTATTGCTCTTTTAAATGCTATTCCTGATTCCTTTAGTGATGTGAAATCTGCTATTAAGTATGGTAGAGATAATGTGACTCTTGACATTGTAGTAAATGGTCTTAAGAGTAAGGAATTAGATTTAAAACAGATGGGTGAGGGTAGAAAATCCGAGGAAGTTATGCATGTGAGGGGTAGAGAAAATAATAGTAGACGACATAGATCTAAGTCTAGGTCTAATTCGAGGCGTTGCTATTATTGTCATGAATCTGGTCATTTCATAAGAGACTGTCCTAAATCTAAGAAAAATGAGCATAGTGAGCATGCTAATTTGACTACATGTGAAGATGATTTAGGTGATGTTTTTATGATGAAAAATCTATGTGATTATGACTATTTGAGTTCTGTGATATCTGATTCTTTGGGTAAATCAGATTGGGTGGTAGATTCTGGTTGTACTTTTCATATGTCCCCTTTGAAAAATGTTTTCTCAAACTATAGAGAGATTGAGCATGACTTTGTGTCTTTAGCAAATGAGAAGAAATGCAATGTGCTAGGAATAGAAGATGTATGCCTTAGGTTTTCTTCTCGTTATGTGCTTACTTTGAAGAATGTTAGGCATGTTCCTGAGCTGTGTTGTAATTTGCTATCTTGTGCTTCTCTTGAAAATGAGGGTTTGAAGGGAAAATGGGGAAAGGGAATCATGAAAGTTGTGAAGGGTTGCTTAGTTGTTTTCAAAGCTGAGATGAAAAACAACTTGTATGTTTGTCATGCTGAACCCCTACTTGATTCTTTGAATTGTGTGCAACCCTGTGTGCTAGGAAAACAATCTAGAGTTGATTTTCCTGATCTGCCTAAGTGTACTAATGTGCTTGATTGTATTCATGCTGACTTGTGGGGTCCTTATAGTGTTTCCACTCATGGTGGGAAAAATTATTTTCTGACGTTGATTGATGATTTTTCAAAGAAAGTGTGGGTTTTGTTGATTGAAAATAAATCTGGAGTTTTTGATAAGTTTAAAAACTGGAAAACCCTTGTTGAAAAACAAACCGGTAAGAAAATAAATTTTTTAAGGACCACTGTCAGTTTTGATTTCTGTGATAGTCAGCTTGGTGATTTATGTGATACTTGGGGTATTTCTATGCATAAATCTGTTCCCTCCACACCCCAACCGGATGGGGTTGCTGAGAGGATGGTTAAAACTTTATTAGAGAGGGTGAGGGCTATGTTAGCTTCATCTGGGCTCTCTAATAAGTTCTGGGGGGAAGCTATTTGTTATGCTGTTGATTTGGTTAATCTGTCCCCGTCTGTTCCCTTAGGAGGGAAATGCCCTGAATCTGTGTTCATGGGCAAACCACTTAACTTGCCAAATTTGAGAGTGTTTGGTTGTGCTGCTTATGTGAATCGTGTGAATGATAAATCTGAACCTAGGACTAAGGAATA